AAATATTGCTACAGCCAGAAAAATGATAGGATGGATTACGAGAACTTTCAAATCCAGGGATCCCATCACAATGGTTGTACTCTTCAAGGCACTTGTGTTGTCCCGTCTTGAGTACTGCTCAGTACTCACTTCCCCCTTCAAAGCAGGAGAGATTGCTGAAATAGAGGGAATACAGAGAACATATACGGCACGCATAGACGCAATAAAGCACCTACATTATTGGGATCGTCTCAAAGCCCTCCAAATGTACTCACTAGAAAGAAGACGAGAGAGATATCAAATAATATACACCTGGAAGATACTGGAGGGCCAAGTACCAAATCTACACAGTAAAATAACAACGTACTGGAGTGAACGACATGGAAGAAAATGTAGAATAGAACCAATGAAGAGCAGAGGTGCCATAGGCACAATCAGAGAACACTGTATAAACATCAGAGGTCCGCGGTTGTTCAACGTCCTCCCAGCAAGCATAAGAAATATTGCCGGAACAACCGTGGACATTTTCAAGAGGAAACTAGATTTATTCCTCCAAGGAGTGCCGGACCAACCGGGCTGTGGTGGGTATGTGGGCCTGCGGGCCGCTCCAAGCAACAGCCTGGTGGACCAAACTCTCACAAGTCGAGCCTGGCCTCGGGCCGGGCTTGGGGAGTAGAAGAACTCCCAGAACCCCATCAACCAGGTATCAACCAGGTATCAACCAGTACTCCAGTGTCCAATTGCAACCCATTATAATACAGTACCCTAGTTTCCCACTGCACCCTATTATACTACAGTACTCCAGTGTCCCACGGCACCCCATTATACTACAGTACCCCAGTGTCCCACGGCACCCAATAATGCTACAGTACCCTAGTGTCCCACGGCACCCAATAATGCTACAGTATCCCAGTGTCCCATGGCCCCCCATTATGCTTCAGTACCCTAGTGTCCCACGGCACCCCATTATACTTCAGTACCCCAGTGTCCCACGGCACCACGCTATGCTACAGTACCCCTAGTGTCCCACGGCACCACGCTATGCTACAGTACCCCCAGTGTCCCACGGCACCCCATTATGCTTCAGTACCCCAGTGTCCCACGGCACCCCATTATGCTACAGTACCCCAGTGTCCCACGGCACCACGCTATGCTACAGTACCCCAGTGTCCCACGGCACCACGCTATGCTACAGTACCCCAGTGACCCACGGGACCCCATTATGCTACAGTACCCCAGTGTCCCACGGCACCCCATTATGCTTCAGTACCCCAGTGTCCCACGGCACCCTATTATGCTACAGTACCCCAGTGTCCCACGGCACCACGCTATGCTACAGTACCCCAGTGACCCACGGCACCCCATTATGCTTGAGTTATCTTGAGATGATTTCGGGGCTTTAGTGTCCCCGCGGCCCGGTCCTCGACCAGGCCTCCACCCCCAGGAAGCAGCCCGTGACAGCTGACTAATACCCAGGTACCTATTTACTGCTAGGTAACAGGGGCATAGGGTGAAAGAAACTTTGCCCATTTGTTTCTGCCTCGTGCGGGAATCGAACCCGCGCCACAGAATTACGAGTCCTGCGCGCGATCCACCAGGCTACGAAGACCCCTTGCTTCAGTACCCCAGTGACCCACGGCACCCCATTATGCTTCAGTACCCCAGTGACCCACGGCACCCCATTATGCTACAGTACCCCAGTGACCCACGGCACCCCATTATGCTTCAGTACCCCAGTGTCCCATGGCACCACGCTATGCTACAGTACCACAGTGACCCACGGCACCCCATTATGCTTCAGTACCCCAGTGTCCCACGGCACCACGCTATGCTACAGTACCCCAGTGACCCACGGCACCCCATTATGCTACAGTACCCCAGTGTCCCACGGCACCACGCTATGCTACAGTACCCCAGTGACCCACGGCACCCCATTATGCTACAGTACCCCAGTGTCCCACGGCACCCCATTATGCTACAGTACCCCAGTGTCCCATGGCACCCCATTATGCGACAGTACCCCAGTGTCCCACGGCACCACGCTATGCTACAGTACCCCAGTGACCCACGGCACCCCATTATGCTTCAGTACCCCAGTGACCCACGGCACCCCATTATGCTTCAGTACCCCAGTGACCCACGGCACCACGCTATGCTACAGTACCCCAGTGTCCCAGGCACCCCATTATGCTTCAGTACCCCAGTGTCCCACGGCACCCCATTATGCTACAGTACCCCAGTGTCCCAGGCACCCCATTATGCTACAGTACCCCAGTGTCCCACGGCACCCCATTATGCTACAGTACCCCAGTGTCCCACGGCACCACGCTATGCTACAGTACCCCAGTGACCCACGGCACCCCATTATGCTTCAGTACCCCAGTGACCCACGGCACCCCATTATGCTACAGTACCCCAGTGTCCCACGGCACCACGCTATGCTACAGTACCCCAGTGTCCCACGGCACCCCATTATGCTACAGTACCCCAGTGTCCCACGGCACCCCATTATGCTACAGTACCCCAGTGTCCCACGGCACCCCATTATGCTACAGTACCCCAGTGTCCCACGGCTCTCCAGTATGATGCAGGACTTTTGTGTACCATGGGTCACAAATGTATTTGGCACCGTAGTGAATCAAGGCACCCTAGTGTACTATCTCACCTTAGAGTACCCTGGCACCCTAGTGTACCATAGCACCCTAGATACCATGACACCCTAGTGTAGCATGGCACCCTAGTGTACCATGGCACCCTAGTGTACTTTGGCACCCTAGTGTACCATGGCACCCTAGTGCCCCATATCACCGTAGTTTACTATGGCACCCTAGTGTACACTCGCACCCTAGTGTACTATTGCACCCTAGTATTCTATATCAACCTAGTGTACTATGGCACCTTCTTGTTCAATGACACCTTTATGTACCATGGCACCCTGGTGTATTATAACAAGCTGGTCTACCATTGCACCCTATAGTGCATATATATACTTTTGGGTGACATATACTATGTCACCCTAGAACACCATTGCCCCCTAGTGTATTATGGCACCCCAATCCACCATGACACCCGAGTGAATCATGTCTCCCCAGTGTACTATGGCACCCTTGCGTACTATGGGACCATAGTATACTATGGCACCATCGTGTACCATGGCATCATAGTGTACCATGGCACCATAATGTCCTATATGACCCTAGGGAACCATGGCACCCTAGTTTACTATGGCTCCCTTGTTTACCGTGGCACCCTAGTGCAATATGGCCCCCAAGTGTACTATGGCACGCTAGTGTACCATAGCATCCAAATGCACCATGGCACCCTAGAGTGCCATGGTGCACTGTACGGTGCCATATGGTTCCCTAGTGAACTATGGCACTCTAGTTTACCATGGCATCCTAGTGTACTATGGCAGCCTAGTGTACTATGGCACCCTAGTGTACCATGGCATCCTAGTGTACTATGGCACCCTAATTTACTAAAGCAACCTTAATGTACTATGGGACTCTTATATGTACCCTGGTTCTCTAGTGTACAATGTCACCCTATTTTTCTATGGTACCCTAGTGAACTATAGCACACTATTGTATTAGGGCACCCTGGTGTAACATTGCCTCCTAGTTTACTATGGCATCCTTGTGTACAATGGCACTGTTGTATACAGTGGCACCCATAGTGTACTCTGGCACCCTACTTACTTTGACACCTTATTATACTATGGCACCCTAGTGTATCATGGCACTCTCGTGTAGTATGGCACCCTAGTGTACTAAAGCAACCTTGTGTACTATGGCACCTTAATGTACTATGACACTCCTATGTACCCTGGTTCCCTAGTGTAAAATGTCCCCCTATTTTCCTATGGCACCCTATCTTACCATGGCACCCTAGTGTACTCTGGCACCCTAGTTACTTTGGCACCTTATTATTCTATGGCACCCTAGTATAGTATGGCACCCTAGTGTAGTATGGCACCCTAGATAGCAATGGCACCCTAGAATACCATGACACCCTAGTTCACAATGAGACCCTAGTGCACTATGGCTCCCTAGTGTACTATGGCACCCTAGTGTACTAAAGCAACCTTGTGTACTATGGCACCTTAATGTACTATGGCACTCTAATGTTCCCTGATTCCCTAGTGTACAATGTCACCCTATTTTTCTATGGCACCCTATTTTACCATGGCACCCTAGTGTACTCTGGCACCCCTAGTTACTTTGGCACCTTATTATACTATGGCACCCTAGTGTAGTATGGCACCCTAGATAGCAATGGCACCCTTGAATACCATGACACCCTAGTTCACGATGTAGTGTGATGTGTCCCTAGTGTACCATGGCACCCTAGTGTAGTGTGGCACTTTTTGTATCATTACACCCTATAGTGTACTTTGACACACTAGTATACCATGGCACCCTAGTTAACCATGGCACCCTAGTATACAATGGCACCCGAGGGTAGCATGGCTCCCTAGTGAATTATGGCCTCATAGAGTACTATGGCACCATAGTGTACCATGGCACCATAGTGTACCATGTCACACTAGTGTACTATGTCACACTAGTGTACCATGGCTCCCTAGTTTACTATCGCTCCCTTGTGTACCGTGGCACCCTAGTGTACCATAGCATTCAAATGTACCATGGTACATTAGGGTACCACGTCAAGACGTTTGTCTCCTGAACGTTAAGGGAGACGTCAAGACGTTTGTCTCCTCAACGGTAAGGGAGACGTCAAGACGTTTGTCTCCTCAACGTTAAGGGAGACGTCAAGACGTTTGTCTCCTCAACGTTAAGGGAGACGTCAAGACGTTTGTCTCCTCAACGTTAAGGGAGACGTCAAGACGTTTGTCTCCTCAACGTTAAGGGAGACGTCAAGACGTTTGTCTCCTCAACGTTAAGGGAGACGTCAAGACGTTTGTCTCCTCAACGTTAAGGGAGACGTCAAGACGTTTGTCTTCTCAACGTTAAGGGAGACGTCACCCTCAGCTGACTGTAATGTTAACCTTTTACCTGCAGGCGTTGTTGGGGCAGCGGGGCCCCAAGCTCAATATCTCCTGGTTCTGCGGCGGTGTCCTTCTCAACCCTCGTTGGGTCCTCACTGCTCAACACTGAGTGATGTTCCTCAGCAGGTCCCTTTGTGATGTCCCTCAGCAGGTCCCCGGTGATGTCCCCCAGCAGGTCCCCCGATGATGTACCTCAGCAGGTCCCTCGGTGATGTTCCTCAGCAGGTCCCCCGGTGATGTTCTCAGTAGACAAAGGCAAAAAAACTTAATAATATAATTGTCACCATCACCATAAATACTATATATCTTATCACACGGGGGGGGGGGTATAAATCGGGTTTGTTACGGACCCGAGCCCAGCGTCCGAGCACGGAGCAGTGACGACCACGCCATCTGTGGGTCAGCTCCCGAAACCCCCTCCAAATGGACGGCGCCATCAAGTGAGGACAGGAAATACCAGCCACAAGGGCTAGTTTCCCATCCTGATCAGCTCATAACACAGCCGCTGCTGACCTCTGGTGAGGTGGTGCTTAGACAGCAACGCCATCTATGGAGTGGATAGGTGGGCGTTTGGGTCTGAGCCGGTAAGTGACGTCCCCTAGAGTGTCCCTAGAACTGATGACGTGTCTGATTACAGAGTCGACCTGGGACTGCTGTAACGAACGTTGGATCAGTCTACCCACGGCAGCCGTCTTGTCTCCAAGTATTTGCTGCAGCAGCTGTGAGTCACCCCCCGGATGAACACTGTGGTGTTAGCCTGCCTGTGACGTGGCAGCTGAAGGATTGTCGTACCCGGGACTGACTGGTGGAGACGCTTAACCACTGGGGTGTTGTGGCGAGGAGAGTGGTCTGTGGGATCACACGAGGCTCCTGACTAGGGCTTGCTACCCGAGTATCGGTCGTGGAGTGGCCTAACCAGCATTGCTGATTGGAACCTGCAAGCTACCTGCTGGACTTGTGGTTGACGGCCTCCACGACGGTGCCCCCAGTGGAACTGTGATTTGGCTGGCCTGTGTAGACTCAAGAGAATCGAAGGATTCGTCGTGAGGCCACAAGAGGACCAAGACCTTAGCATCGTTGAGCACCGTGGAACACTCCGCGTCTTCAGAAGAAGACTACTTTGTATATAATAGAGTTTATACCCCCCCCCCCTGTGTGATAAGATATATAGTATTTATGGTGATGGTGACAATTATATTATTAAGTTTTTTTTGTCTTTGTCTCCCTTCCCCTTTAAGTTATTTGCGTTACGGATCACATCCCTTGAAAGCCACTACTGGCTTGGGGCCGGATACCCTTCCTCTAACAACAGCAGAGAAAGAACCCAGTTGCGACCCGAGAGGGCCGTAACATAATTGGCATCCCCAGCGGGATCCGACCCCTTGTCAAGTATGTTTGACAGGGGTGGTGAAGTGGCGTAATCCCTGTAAATAATTCCCCCTGTGTGTGAGTATTAGGACGTTATACGTCCTGTGCGGTGCTCGGAGTGACTAGGTGCAATATTGTGCAGTGCGGTGCTCGCTGTGATTAAGTGCAATATTGTGTAGTGCGGTGCTCGGTGTGATTCAGTGCAATATTGTAGAGCGATGTGCTCGCTGTGATTAAGTGCAATATTGTGTAGTGCGGTGCCCGGGGTCATTACGTGCAATATTGGTAAGTGAGGCGCTAGGTGCGATAAAGTGCAATATTGATGTAGAACAGTGCTCGGTGCGCTAAGTGCTAAAGTGAAGCGGTGTGTTAAGTGCTAGTGTTCCATCTCGGTGACGATGGCAGAAAAATCGACCATCGACGATCTGGACGATGTTCAGGCTTTTCTGAACAGGGAGGACTGTCTTGCCAGATTAAAATATCTGGGGAAACAAGAACTCGTCTTAGTTAGTGCCTACCTGGAGATAAAGATACGCGCCAGTGATTCCCGTGTGGAGATCTTGTCCAAGGTTCACCGGCATTTGAAAGCCAAGGAAAAACAGGAAGGTGAGGCACAAGGTACAAACGAAAGTGAAGAAGTAGCTTCCACTGAAAAGGAAGATAAAGGCAGTCCGAAACACCGGAGTCCGAGGAGGAATATGGTGTGCTGGACTTGTGGGCAGAAAGGGCATGTAGCTGCTATGTGCCGAGGCAGAAGAGGTAACGGCCCACGTAGGGAGGTGATGCTGATGAGCTGCGTAACACTACCAGCAGGAAGCCAGTCTACGACTACGCAGGAAGGACCAAGTTTGTTCGCCCCTCACACTTCAGGTGGGTATGTATCGAGTGATCATACTGGTAGGTCAGTAGTAGTGCTCAGAGATAGTGGAGCAGCCCAGTCCCTGATATGGCACCCTAGTGTACTAAAGCAACCTTGTGTACTATGGCACCTTTATGTACAATGACACTCCTATGTACCCTGGTTCCTTAGTGTAAAATGTCCCCCTATTTTCCTATGGCACCCTATCTTACCATGGCACCCTAGTGTACTCTGGCACCCTAGTTACTTTGGCACCTTATTATTCTATGACACCCTAGTATAGTATGGCACCCTAGTGTAGTATGGCACCCTAGATAGCAATGGCACCCTAGAATACCATGACACCCTAGTTCACAATGAGACCCTAGTGCACTATGGCTCCCTAGTGTACTATGGCACCCTAGTGTACTAAAGCAACCTTGTGTACTATGGCACCTTAATGTACTATGGCATTCTAATGTTCCCTGATTCCCTAGTGTACAATGCCACCCTATTTTTCTATGGCACCCTATTTTACCATGGCACCCTAGTGTACTCTGGCACCCCTAGTTACTTTGGCACCTTATTATACTATGGCACCCTAGTGTAGCATGGCACCCTAGATAGCAATGGCACCCTTGAATACCATGACACCCTAGTTCACGATGTAGTGTGATGTGTCCCTAGTGTTCCATGGCACCCTAGTGTAGTGTGGCACTTTTTGTATCATTACACCCTATAGTGTACTTTGACACACTAGTATACCATGGCACCCTAGTTAACCATGGCACCCTAGTATACAATGGCACCCGAGGGTAGCATGGCTCCCTAGTGAATTATGGCCCCATAGCGTACTATGGCACCATAGTGTACCATGGCACCATAGTGTACCATGGCACCATAGTGTACTATGTCACGCTAGTGTACCATGGCTCCCAAGTTTACTATCACTCCCTAGTTTACTATCGCTCCCTTGTGTACCGTGGCACCCTAGTGTACCATAGCATTCAAATGTACCATGGTACATTAGGGTACCACGTCAAGACGTTTGTCTCCTGAACGTTAAGGGAGACGTCAAGACGTTTGTCTCCTCAACGGTAAGCGAGACGTCAAGACGTTTGTTTCCTCAACGTTAAGGGAGCCGTCAAGACGTTTGTCTCCTCAACGTTAAGGGAGACGTCAAGACGTTTGTCTCCTCAACGTTAAGGGAGACGTCAAGACGTTTGTCTCCTCAACGTTAAGGGAGACGTCAAGACGTTTGTTTCCTCAACGTTAAGGGAGCTGTCAAGACGTTTGTCTCCTCAACGTTAAGGGAGACGTCAAGACGTTTGTCTCCTCAACGTTAAGGGAGACGTCAAGACGTTTGTCTTCTCAACGTTAAGGGAGACGTCACCCTCAGCTGACTGTAATGTTAACCTTTTACCTGCAGGCGTTGTTGGGGCAGCGGGACCCCAAGCTCAATATCTCCTGGTTCTGCGGCGGTGTCCTTCTCAACCCTCGGTGGGTCCTCACTGCTCAACACTGCTTCCGAGACCGGTAAGTGATGTCCCTCAGCAGGTCCCTGAGTGATGTTCCTCAGCAGGTCCCTTTGTGATGTCCCTCAGCAGGTCCCTCGATCATGTCCCTCAGCAGGTCCCTCGGTGATGTCCCTCAGCAGGTCCCCCGGTGATGTCCCCCTGTTGGAAATTTCCAACACTAACTACTATTGTATTATAATACATCATCATCATTATATACTAACTACAGTAGTTACTAATTTTACTAACGGTAGTGTCAACATAAATTAACTATTTTATCTGCGCATTAGTGCTAGAATTCTCACGTCATCGAGTAACAAAATTGCGTCAGATAATGTCTATCTAGACACGTTTATTACCAATGTGTTAGAGAATTGAATGTGGTTCTCTAAAACTATCAGTATTCCGTTTAATAATTACCTACGGATAATATGACTCCCGATAATCTAAAACCGAGAGTTATTAACTGAAATTATTATCAAGTAGCAGTTTTATCTGTTACATACGAATGCTATGGAGAGAATAAAAATCTTCTCCATTTCTCGTTTAACACCATTAAACGAGAATATGATAATATTTAAGTCCCTATAATTGCAACCCAGTTCTCATTAACGTATTACATCCATAATTACGCAGAAAAGAATTATCCGTGATTAATAATTTCTGTGGTGAATGCGAGAGACGGGTTGAGGGAGGGCGAAGATGCCATTGTACACGAGGCATCCCTGGCGTGAAGAGTGGCGAGACACGTGGTAGTGACTGGGGAGTTTTTATCGACAAGAATTACGTTAATACCCGTTAATAGTCAACAATTACCTATTCACGTGTTCTATAGTGCCCTGCCAGTTAATAACGCGTCAACAATTGAAGCCACGGCCCATAATTACGCGCACACAGCAGTGGACGTCTGGGACTGGCTGACGCGGTTTCGGCAGACCTTAGTATTTGATACGCTCATGTTAAGTATACCATTCTCGTTTGATGCATCATCCTAGATTGTATATTTGTGGGTAGTCTGTCGTTATACAGCATGGATACCTAATACACAACGTTAGTTGATTTTCCACATTTTCTCAGTTTTCATGAATATTTGAAATAATTCGTAGCCTAATCAAATGCTACTTAAATTTCTCTGATTTCAGCGTGTATACGAGGAGTCGACAAGTTGTTTCTCTTCATTCGTGATATTCACCTCGGGTTCTTTCTTTATTGGGATCCTGTGACCACGAGGACGAATGACGAAATGGCGTTACAGAAATCGTCTTACAGATAAGACATTTATTTCGTACAAATTTATCTAAGATTATTACTGATTTCCATATAATTCATATAGGATCTTTACAGTGAATAATTTATTGCCAGAAATTATGATTTGGTAATTAATGTGTTTGCTCTTACTGTTGCTCAATAATTCATAATCTTTAATATTCATAATTTGAGTTATCATATCTTTGAATCTATTTTAGTTTAGATTTACTATGTTACTAACTCAACAATGAACTAGTGACGAACCACACTGGTTCCTAGATATATATGAACTTCTAGAAATACCCCCCCCCCCCCAATGTTGATATTTGAGGCTTTGACTTTAATTAATTAATAATACAGTCTATTCATTATTTTCAAGTGATTATTCATTTAATTATTATCCATAGGCACTGGTTCTCTAGTGTCAATCTAATAATCACTATTATTCGTTTTCCCTCTTTTCTCAAAAGTGGGTGGTCCTTCGATTTACTTAAATACAATAATCAAATAATTTAATATACAAGTTCAAGCCCCAGAAATCCAACATTTTGGTCCTCTTCGAACCGGATAGATAGCTTAGAATCAAGCTATCCTCAATCATTATTAATTAATCACTAACACCAATTATGTGTTAACCATTATTGGGCTATACAAATATTTCAATTTACGGCTGTCAGCACTGTCCATTATAGCCTAAATTCAATCCATAATTACTGATTCACTCAAGTCAGTGAATTCATTAACATTTTAGGATCCAGTATACTAATACAAATTACTGATCCCATAAATCAATTAATCATTACTAACCCTGATAACATTATATTCCACAATTAGGAAGTACATTCAGGTGTTAAATATTATTTACGGCAGTAGAATACTTGCCAAACACAATTAATACTCTTGTGTTCATTTAATTTCTTATACACATAATTTCTACCAGTGTATATATTATATAAAATTACAAAATCCAAAAACATAGCACTATTTACACATTATTGCACCACATTTATTGTAGTTATTATGCCAACCCAACAGAGGTAGGATATTTCAGACTGACACGGTACTAAGATTTGTACAAATTCAGTCTACACCATTAGCTGCATTAATAGGTAGGATTATTACCTAACTAGTACTGTTAGACAGTGCTGGTGCATTATTAATTTATGTAGTGCTGACCCTAATGGGTGGGATTAACCATTTATTGTGTAATTATATTTTATTACATATTTCTATGTACATCTTTGAGTGTTACTGTAAGTTCACTACCCATCCAAGGCTGATTTTGAAGAGCTAAGCTAAGGAACACCTGTAGTGATACCAAGGCACCACTGAAATCTTAGTTGCTTATTATTAGGTAGGTAGCTAACCTCTAAATGAGGTAAATTACAATCAGCCTCAAGAAAATATCAGGCTGTCAATAATTATACCTGCTCTACATAAAGGAGCAAGTACCATAGCTGTCCAAGTAGCTATATAAGCCCTATAAGGCTCAAACTTACAGCCAGAATGGCTACTCCAGAAAAAACTGGAAGAATCTTGAGAGGTCTTCAAAATCACCTGTCAAGATTACTTGACAAATGTGACAACTGTTTAAGAACTAACTCAGTTGACGTCTTCAGGCTAAAAATTTCCACAAAGGTGGCTAGCCAAAAATATGACTATGTAAAGGTTATAATCGAGTCTTATAGGAACATACTCCTTGTCAGTAATACTGACCCAGACGAATTGCGTCTGATAGAATCTGATCTTGCCGACTATGAAGATATAATTCAAGACAAGTTAGATCACTATAACAAAGTGCTTGCGACACAAAATGTTCCTGAGTGGTTAGAACATTTTTGTAGTAGACCTACACCCAAGCAAGCACCCAGCTCAGATGAAATACATGAGCTACCTCAAAATGAGGAGAATCCTCTAATCAATACTGATCACTACACAGGATCAACAACTGAAGTTCAACCTTCATTTTCTACCATCTCATCTAATACAACTTCACGTAATAATTTATTTACAGAGTCTGATCAATTTTCAGACAGCTCTTCTCAATATTCCCTGGATTCTATAAATTCAATGCATGAGGCTACTGAATTAACTAGCTCCTCACAGGAACCCAGAGAAACAAGTGAAGCTGCAGATGAAACTCTTAGTGAAGCTGTAATAATCAGTGAATCTGAACCAGAAAATGATAAAGCTAAAGCTGCAGCAGCAGCCGAAGCTGTAATTAAAGCTGAGGCTAAGCAAGAAGCCTTGAGCAATACAAGTAATGGTCATAATTACTCACACCAGCCTTCTAGAGCAAGTGCTAACAATGAGAAGACTGTTATAAACCTTGTACACCAATTACTAGATTTATCTCCACCAGAACAATCAGTTGACTCTTTACAAGCCTTTAGTTTTCAGCTTGAGTCACTGTTAAATTCCTTCAGTAAAGAGGTGGATCACCCAACTGCTGAGTGGATGACTAAAATTATCATCCAGAGAAAATTGTCTGGTGACACACTCAATAAATTATATGTATACCAGAATGGTAATGTCCTGTCAATGCAGGATATATTTGCAGGTTTGCGCAATATAAGCAATCATTCAGCAAACCAGGCACTTAATGCCTCTTCTGAATGCACCGAAACTGTACCCACATCAGTTTCCTTACCTGGAACTCCTAAAGTGACACTGTCACTAGGTAACAAGGGTACTAATAATCGATGTAATAACAATAAGTCAAACACTGATTCATCAGTAAGGCCCAAGAGCCCCACAGGTGCTCCTAAGAGACCTAATAGTCCAAAGAGCACTCCCAAGAGCCCAGTAATTGCTCCCCAGAGTACACCAAGTACTCACAAGAGAATAAATAACAAGCAAATGCAAGCAACAAAACCATCACAACCTGCAGTTACTGTTTTACCCAAACCGGTAACCCCTAAACGAGCTGTAGGATGGGGAATATGCTTGTTTTGCAATCAAAAACATTCTCTGTACAAATGTACTAATTACCCTAATAGAGACACAAGAGTCAGACGACTCAAACAGTTACACAAATGTACTAGGTGTCTCAAATCACATAATGTTAATAGCTGTGACACCCCACTGAACACCTGCAATAGGTGTAGAAGGGGCAAGCATCATGCTGCACTGTGCAAATTTGTCAAGACAAATTATGTCAATCCTAGAATAGGAGGTAGAGAATCTACACCAGTACAGTGCTGCAAGGTGCGAGATGTGTACAGCGTAATTTCACAAGCATCTCAAGTGGATGCTGCTTTGCCCACTGCCCAACTTCAAGTAAAGAACAAAGGAGCCAAGATCACCACTCGTGGATTATTTGATCAAGGATCCCAGAGAACTTTCATTACTCAGAAAGCGGCAGAGACACTCAATTTACTACCAATCAGACAGGTAAAATTAAACCTGTCAGGGTTCATGATAAATCGAGGACCCTAAGAATACTCAGTAGTTCAACCGCTTGTACGACTAGGTAGTCAAGTCAAGGCTATCCAAGCCTTGTTGTTGATCAAATACCTTTTGACCTAAATATTAAGGGTCTGGGGTACACAGCCCACTTCATACAGGAACGTAAAATTAATTTGGCTGAAAACAAGTTAACGTCTGACCGCCTTAACAATGTGAATGTACTAGTAGGAGCAGACTACTATTACCAGTTCATAACTGGACATGTTAAACGATTGGGCATGAATATGCTCCAATCTGCAGGTGGCTACTTACTTACCGGTAAAGTTCTGAATGTGAACAAGCCTAGGCCTGCCAACAATAATA